TTTTTTTGCTTGATACCTCATTTGAAGAAGTTGTCGAGACGGCAAAAAGTTTACGACCCAAATATTCAAGTGGTGTTGATGACATTCCTTTAAAAATTGTTGTTTCCACAATCAACTCAACAGCTCAAATTTTGAGTTATCTGGTTAATTTTTCTTTTGCGACAGGCATATTTCCTCAATGTTTCAAAGTGGCAAAAGTAATTCCAATAGCAAAGCAGACAGGTAATACCGATATAACCAACTATCGACCTGTAGCGTTACTACCGGCCTTTACAAAAATTATGGAAAAATTGATGTACAAAAGAATTGTCAATTTTCTTCAAAAGTATAACATAATTTCAGACTCTCAATTTGGCTTCCGTGATAAACACTCAACAGAGTTGGCAATCGTGGAGTTGATCCGAAAAATTGGAGTAGCTGCAGAAAATAAAAACTTTGTCGTTGGAACTTGCATCGATCTGTCAAAAGCCTTTGACTGCATCGACCACAGCATTTTGATGGAAAAGTTAAATTATTATGGAATCCGTGAAACACCCCTAAGATGGCTTAGTAACTACTTGACCGATAGGAAACAGTTTGTTAGATAGCAGAACAAAAATTCGACGATACTGACAAATAACTTTGGAGTTCCTCAGGGAAGCATATTGGGTCCACTACTGTTTGTGATCTTTATAAACGATCTTCCCAAGGCATCGAAGTTTTTTGATTTTGTTTGTAATGCCGATGACAATAATATTTTTATTAAAGGTGAAAATATTCATGAACTTTTATATAAAACCAATATTGCCATTAAAGAAGTGGTCAAATGGTTTCAAAACAACAAATTAACGTTGAACGACAAAAAATCTCAAATGATTATTTTTGGGCCGGTTCAGTATCTGAACTACAAAGAACCGTAAAAGATTACAATTAATGGACTAGAAATAAGCGAAAGCAAATCAGTTAAATTTCTAGGTGTCCACCTTGACCAAAAATTAAGTTTTCGACACCACGTAAATTACGAATCAGGAAAAATGGCGAAAGATTTTGATGTTATCAACAAAGTTCGATTTTACGTTCCAAGAAGAACGTTAAATATGCTCTATAACGCCATATGCGTACCGTACATCTCTTACTGCAACGTAGTCTGGGCTGGTACCTATCGCACGATCACCGATCCGATCCGATTAATAATGAAGAGGGCAGTACGGCTAGTTACATCATCAACAAAGCAATCGCACACGTTGCCATTATTTTTGTCAACGAAAAATTTGAATTTTGATCAGGTGAATGCCTACTTCACGGCTAATTTTGTCTACAAACAGCTGACAAACAAGTTACCATCAATATTCAATCATTACTACACTTGCAGCAACAACAAGAGACAAAATTACATTAGATCAAATTCATCAAAAACAAACATTCTCTTCTTCCACGTATATTGCAAAGGACCAAGAATTTGGAATTTGCTATTAAAGAACAACTTTAAAATTGACTCAATGTCTGATGTTAAATTTAGGCAGAAACTGAAAAATTTTATTTTAAACTTAAGAATTAAGTTCTGTTGATTTAGTCAAAATAATTTAGTTATATGATGTTACATTTTCCTGAATATTCTTACCGTTTGTTGTTTTATTTGTGACAGGGTGGCTGTGCAAGATGAGCTCGAGCTCGATCACGAGCTCGATCATAGTCATCCTGCCTTCTTGATTGTCATTTTGGGAAGCAAATAAAATATTCCTTTCGCTTTAACTTTTAGAACAATGTATATATATTTATAATTCTATATATTGCTTAAATATATAGATAACTATGTAATGTCTATCCCGTGTTTTTCTGGATAGATACCAAACATTGTTATACATAAACCATGAACCATCGTACTAACACCTGATTTGCTAACATAGTTGAGTTTGTTAATTTACTAAAAACTAACATCTAACATACCTCTCATAGATCATTTAGGGAAAATTTTTATTATTTGCTGAAAATTTGTGTGAACATGGAACATTTCTGTTTAGGTGGCCATACTAGATGAATTTCATATAAATTCTATTATGGTCATCCTGCTTTCTTTTAATTTTCAATTTTGAGAAGCAAATAAATAATTTCGTTTCGTTTCGTATGTATGTATGTATGTATGTATGTATGTATGTATGTATGTATGTATGTATGTATGTATGCATGTATGTATGTATGTATGTATGTATGTATGTATGTATGTATGTATGTATGTATGTATGTATGTATGCAGAGCAACATATGCAAAGTCTCCCGTACTGCTTTCGGGCTGGAAAATCAATTCCTTGCTTTCATTTATACGCACGTACACACACGTACACACATAAACGTACACACAAACAAACAGACCAACATACAGACTTATGTACAATACACGTATATACTCATACATTTGTGTGTGTGTATATATATATATATATATATATATATATATATATATATATATTCCCATTCATAAACAAACACATACATAGTTGCACATGCAGAATAGTAGTACGTACATACATACATACATTCATACATACATATATACATACATACATACATACATATATACATACATACTGGCAGTATCCAGCGAGGCGAGTTGTGGCTGGCTGAGATCTTTGCCCAATACGTCGGTGGGTACCAGATTGGATGACGAAACGGTCAGGTCAGCCATTGGCTTCCGTCTGGGGTTGGCCGTTCAGAGTCGATACACATGCAGGTGCGGCGCGGAGGCGGATGAACTCGGCCATCATGGTCTTGTTTGTCTCGTTTGGGCGGAGGTCGCCAGCAGCGACATTCAGCCATAAACGATTTTGTGTGCCGGCTTTTCTCCAAGGCTTCAATTCCGGTTTTAAAGGAACCGTCGGGCATCGCGGCGCATGATGGTAAGCGCCCTGACGGGTGTACCTTGATTCTTTGGAGGGCCGGCAGGTGCTTGGCGTGAGACGTTACCGTTCCGGGCATCTTTGCTGAGCGCTACGTGCAGCTTACTAGCAAAGAAAGCGGTTTGGCTGCAACCAGGGCATCTGATGAAAAGATCAAAAAGTATGACGGAGCTCTCCCCTCGATGGAGTTTTTACCGATTTATATTGAGGTCCTCGGCCCCATGGACCGTAACACCTCCAAGTTTTTCAATCAGATTTGTAAGCATATTAGTATTAGGTCAGGCGATAGTAGGGAGTATTTTTTCGTTGTGAATAATATTTCGTGCATTCTGCTGCGGTTTTTGCGAGTCTGTGTGTTGGAAAATGTGGAGTTGAATGCCGACGTGGCTGAGTGACGTTATAGCAAATAAAATTAAATTTAGTCAGACGCTTGGCTTTTGGTGTCATTCGTCAATGATTTGGTTTTAACATATATACATTCATACATACATACATACATACATACATGCATACATACATACATACATACATACATACATACATACATACATACATACATACATACATACATACATACATACATACATACATACATGTCCAGCGTTGCCAGCTGTGGGTGGTTGAGATCGTGGCCCAACACCTCTGTGGGCACCAGGCTCGACGACGAGTCTGTGAGATTTGCCATTGGCTTCAGACTTGGCCTGGTCATTCAGAATAAATACACGTGCCGATGTGGCGCAGGGGCGGACAGGTTTGGGCACCACGGTTTGGTTTGTCGCCTGGGTGGGGGCCGTCAACTACGTCACTCAGCGCTAAACAAATACATTTGTCGGCTTTTCTCAAAGGCTTCAATCCCGGTTCTCAAGGAACCATCCGGCATTTCTGCGCATGATGGTAGGCGCCCGGACGGATGCACACTAATACCTTGGAGAGCCGGCAGATGTTTGGCGTGGGATGTTACGGTCCCTGGCACCCTCGCCGAACGATACGTAAACCTGACAAGTAAAGAATGCGGTTTGGCCGCGGCCGGGGCAGCGGACGAGAAAATGAAAAAATATGGGAACGCCCTCCCCTCGATGGAATTCTTGCCAATATGTATCGAGATTCTCGGCCCGATGGGCCCCAACACCCTTAAATTTCTTAAGGCAATATGCAAAAGAATCAGCGTCAGATCAGGCGACAGCTGGGAACTGTTTTTCGCAACTAACCACATTTCGTGCTTGTTGCAGCGGTTCCTGCGTGTCTGTGTGCTTGAAAATATCCAACTGAATGCCGACATGTGCAATTAACGACAAATCAAAGTGTTAATCCATTTGTTACTTGATGTTTGACGGTTCAGTGTCACTCATCACGTTTTGGTTTAAACATACATACATACATACATACATACATACATTTATGTATGCATGTACATGTGTGTTTATGTAGTCGTTTGTATATTTTTATTGTACTTTTTTGTAGGCAAAAAAGTTTCACCTCCAGTTTTACGCATACATAATCCAATAACGTCCAATTCGGCGATGTTTATTTTTGAGATTCTTCTGCGAATCAATATTTTAATTTTGTTAATTTGGTTTATGTTTTGTTTGGAAAAAATTGTTCGTTTGTTCGCTTGTTCGCTCGTTTGCTCTTTTGTTTGTTTTCTGTTTCATCCATGTTAATCTTACTTAAAATTAAATTGTGATTGTTTCTACAAAACGGTATTTAAAGTGCGTCATGTAAGACGGGAATCTTTCTGAATTCGAACCGGTTGCAGCTCATGTTCAGGCGCCTCTAACCATCCAACCACCATGTCGTCCATTAAATAAAATGAATAAACAGAAAAATTTAACACCGGAAAAAATAGTAAAACACTAAAAAAATATAACAAAACAACATTTTGCATATGAATAGATGGACCCCTCCTAACCAAAGATAACAAAATCTCTTTCACCATTCTCTATCCTTAGACCATAAATAAAATAACTATTTTCCTCTTTTTCATTCAGGGCTGTATTTTATATCTTTGTTTATTTTGCTATCTTTGTTTTTGCTCTATTTTATAGTTGTTTTAGTTTCTATGCATTCATTTGTGGTGAATTCTTTGTTTTTTTTATTGCACATAATTTTTAATTATTTTAATTACAATTTATGATTTTTCTTTGTTCATTTGTTAATTTTTATTTATCTATCTATGCTCTATTTATATACCAAAATTTTTGCACCACACCTAGTTTATCTGCCATAGATATAAAAACTAATTTGCAGTTTTTGTTCTTTGTTTACAAATTTACCACGTCATTAAATTAATATTTATTCTATGCTCAGTTTATCTCTTGTTTATATTTTTGTTTAGCGATTTGTGTTAACTCTGCTCTATGTTCCTAAAAATATCCATTTTTTTTAACCTTTTAATAACTATAGAATTTGTACGTTATGATATTGTTGACGTGATTGCTCATTCATTCGTTCGTTCATTCATTTATTCATGCATTCATTCATTCATCCACTCGTTCATCCATTCATTCATTCATGCATTCATTCATTCATTCATCCACTCGTTCATTTTTTCAATAATTCATTTGCCCTTCCATTCATTCATTAATTCATCCATACATACCATTCGTTCATTCATTCATTCATTCATTCATTGATTTATTCATTCATTCATTTATTCATTCGTTCTTTCATTCATTCAACCATACACACCATTCATTCGTTTGTTCATCCATTTATTTTTTTATAAAATCTTCTAAATATACATTGTAAATATTTTTTTACTGTTTCTTACTTTATTCTTCTGTATTCGGCTTTCTTCCTTGACATGTCAAACATGCAAACACCAGACATATGTTTACTCATTTGTATGTGTGTGTGTGTATATATGTATATGTGTGTGCATGTATGTATGTGTGTTTGTATATGAATGTGAATTTCGTTTGTATCCGTGTGAACAACAAACTTGTCTTCTTCAATTGAAAGTACATGCAAACTCATGCCATTCAACAGTCCTTCTTGTCTTTTTTAAACATTCACAAAACACACTCACGCACACACACACACACACACACACACACACAAATGCATGCAAATGTGTATACACAAACAAAACAAACTAACTAACAAACAAACACATACAAACTTGTCTATACATACAAACAAATGTTCAAACATACAAACAGACACACATATAATATAGTATATTATAATAGTGGGCACATAGCCTGAATAGCTACATTGGCATCATAATGCGAAGTAGCTCGTTAAATCATTACTCATTAAATATCGTCAAAACCTTATATTCATCCATTCTTTCTTCCTTCATTCTCTCCTTCTTTCTTTCATTCATTCGTTCATTCATTCATTCATTCACTTATTCTTTCACTCGTTCGTTCTATCCTTTTAATATTTCTTTACTTTTACATTTATTCTTTTCTAACATTTTCAGTCAGTCAGATCAGATTTTTTTTGCATTACACACACGCCGACACACACACACACACACACACACACACACACACACGCACGCGTACTCTCTCTCCCACACACACACATTCATATATTAATAGTAGGCAGAAAGAACTGCTCATAATAAAAGGCAATTACAAATAAAAATAATTAATGATTGAGAGCTTTGGTACATATCCAGTAAGAAGGGATAACAAAAAAACACACACACACAGAAAGATAAAGGGAAAGAGAGAGAGAGAGAGAGAGAGAGAGGAGAGAAAGAGAGAGAGAGAGAGAGAAAGAGAGAGATACACACACGCCCATGCATACATACTGACACGCACACCCATACACATACATACCCACACATACATACACACACATACATACACACATACAGACACACACAGACAGACACACACACACACTCACATGACAAATACCAGTGGTGACAAATCGATATTTATGACAGAAAATTATCGAAACGTCCTAATTAGTGGGAGTTAATATTAATGGCGGGAAGAAATGATGGTGACGACGACGACGATGATGATGATCATGATACGTACATACATACATACATACATACATACATACATACATACATACATACATACATACATACATACATACATACATACATACATACATACATACATACATACATACATACATGCATACATACATACATACATACATACATACATACATACATACATACATACATACAAACGCACACACATACAAACGCACATACATACAATCACATTACACGCCGCGTTACTTAATATAGAGAGGAAGAGTAACAATAACAATGAAATGACTCTAAGGTCGATACGTAATGATGGTGACGAGACGATGATGAGGACCATGAAAGCGATGATATGATACATATTATTAAGTTATATTCAATATATTACATGATTTAATGATACATACACTAGGATATATGACATATGATATATGATATATACATTACATGATTTGATGTGATGATGAAGACGATGATATAATGATGACGAAATGAGAAGATTATTTTATTCATAAATAAAATTTAAAAAATTTAACTACGGATTTGTGAAAAATTTACTTGATATTAAAAAGATACCAACAAAAAAAACAGCAAAATTAAACCGCAAAATCATTAAACCAGCCATACCTTTCCTTTGGCTGTAGGGATAGGAAAAATAATTTTTGATGGAATTTGAACTATAGTATCAAACTTGACATTCACCTGGCAGCATTTGCTTCATTATATAATCTCTAGCACTTAATAATATTTATTTTTTACACGCATTTATTCAACATAGCACTAAGTTTTAAATAAGTTCTTCATTCTTCTAAATATATATTCTAGATATTTTTACTGACTATACTGTTCTGTACTGATACTCTTTAATACATGAAGGAATTGTTTAAAAGTTAATTTAAATGACTAGCACATCCCTACAGTTTGTTCATTTTTTCGAATTATAATAATTTATCTTTCTTCAAAATTATCGATTAAAAAATAGTTTTCTTCGATATCCGCCATTTAATTTTTAATTTAGGTAAATTTAATAAACTGAAAAATGGCGTCAAATAATTTGGATCATAAAGGTTTCAGATTTAATTTAAGATTTCAGTTATAAATTTAAAATTGATCAAGTGAAAATTCAAAATTGTAATAAAAAATAAAATGTAATTTTTTAATTATATTATAGTTATATTTATATATATTTTATACTATTTATAAGAATCAAATTAAGTTGTTAAAAATTAGTAATATTGGTTATTTCACGCTCTGAAGAGCCAGCAAGCATGATGGAAAATGTAGAGGATGGAGTAGCAGAAGATGAGAATGAGGACAAGCAACAACTCATTGAAAAAGTCCATCAGCTACAAACTACACTCGATGGTATATTATATAATTATAATTCATTAATTATAATGTATAATTATAATTGATTAATTATAATATATAACTATATATTATGTATTAATATTATTATTATTCTTTATATAATTTTTAATAAATATGTTATGGTAAATGTAAAATTAAATTTCACTACCTACCTGGTTCTGTTATGAACTCTTAAGCCCTGATCCCCCTAGCCCTAACCAAACAATTTTTTATAACTTTATAGTGTATAGCAGCCATAGAGAGTTTTGTCATCATTTTATAATTTATATCAAAAAATTTATCCTTTTCTTCTATATTATTTTATTATTATTATTTATTATTATTCTATGTTTCTATTTCCAGATCTTTGGAATAGGGTTGATAGTGTGAAAGAAGAGAATATAAAACTGAAGACTGAGAATGAGGTATAATACTACTACCACTACTACTGCTGCTGCTGCTACTACTGCTGCTGCTACTACTTTTGCTGCCTCTTATACTACTACTTCTACTACTACTACTACTGCTACTACAACTACTACTACTACTATTACTAATACTTCTACTACTACCAATATTAATTTGCCAAAAAATTTAGGTTGCATTTTATGTCTGGGTGTATTGCTTTCTTGAAATAAAATTTAATAACGTACCCTTACTCACTAACAATGCCAGATTAATATTAAAGTGAAGTTAATTAAGTTAATCAAATTAATTCAGAGGTAATTATCGATAATATAGCTATGATAATTAATCTATTTATATCTGAATTGATTAATTATATATAATTTGTATATATATTGTATTTAATAGGTTTTGGAGAAGTACATATACAACTTGATTGACTCTAGCACCATATTTCAAAGCATACAGCCTAAAACAAAGTAATTGGATAATTAATTAATTGGTAGATAATTGGTAAGATAATTGATATTAATTCAATGAATAATTAAATAAAATTTATGATTGATAATAGAAATATAATGTTATATTATTATCATCAACCAGGGTGAAATCTAAGAAGTGATGTGAGGATGGTGACGACGACGATGATGATGAGGAAGACTCATGCTATTGGTCGACGCTTTTTTTAATCAATCAATCAATCATTTGATTAATCAATCAATCAACCATTCATTCAGTCATGCTGTTGTTGTTATTATTCATTTTAGATCGAGTGATAGGTTGATTGATTGGCTGATTGATTGGCTAATTGATTGATTGGCTAATTGATTGATTGATTGGCTAATTGATTGATTGATTGATTAATTGATTGATTGAATGGGAGTCACTAAACATTAATTTTTATCACGCTTACTAGTCGTATGTTAATGTAAAATATACCTATTTGTATTTTTTGCAATATTGTTGCTTTTTTTATACAAAGTTTCTCCATAACATCTCTTTACCATTTAGTAGATATGTAATGTACACACATACACACAACACTCACACATGTATATATATATATTATATGTATATATCTTTTCATTAATGTCGTGATGCTTATTGTAATATTTTTTTTATCAATTATATTGACGTCATTCTGCCATATTTATTCCCCCCCCATTCTCACTCTCGCTCTCTTTCTCTATTGCTATATGTATGTAAAAAGAGAGAGAGAAAGAGAGAAACATTTTGTGTTTTATTCATTTCGAATTAGTTTTTTCTCATAATTCAATTTTCAGCCATTTTTTTTATTCTTTGTTATTAATATTTTCAGTTAAATGACTAAGATATAATGTTGTATTGCTTTTATAAGATTTTATTTCCTTATAAGAATTCATAATAATAAAAATAATAATAGTTATTATTATCTAATTTTTGTTTCGTTATTATTTTTATTATTGCTGATAAATTTTTTTTAATTTGTTAGCTACTTGCTTCATACAGTTGTATAATTTATCTCGTTTGAAGTATTAGTTGAGTGTGCGAGTATGTGTTTGTGCGTGTATGTGTTTGTGTGCGAGCTTATTTATCATGACGTCATTTCTAATTGGCTCAATAAAAGTACTAAGAAGTTAATATTTTTACAGCAAATTATAGCCGTAAAATCTTGTTCTATGGTGCCGATCGGTTGTAAACAAATTTTTTGCAATAAATTTTTTGCAATAAAATCGTTTTAATTTGAAGTTTTTAATCGAATTGTGATTATTACTATTCACATTGTTGAAAAAGTTTTTTTGACAGAAAAAAGCGAAGACTTTCAAGAAAGAATAGTTGGAGAAGCGTTAATAAGCAAAAACAAGGTTAGTTAAGCACGTGTCAAAATTTTGGAAGCCAGAAAATGTGTAAAGGTATGAAGAAATGCGATAAATGTGAAATGTACGGTGTGGGTGAAAGTTTTGTGGGCTCGGACTGCAAAACATGCTGTAAATTGGAAGAATTAGACAGAAAATATAATGAACAGCATGATAAGATCGCTCAACTCGAACAACAGCTTGTAGAGCTTCTAAGCAATAAAAAATCAACAAGCGAAAATGAAGTTGTGAAAGAGCAGTTTAAAGAACAGAAATCACGTCTAGACAAAATTGAAGAGAAACTGCAAAAAATAAAAAAAACAGATGAAAAAAATATCAAGAAAACGATTGAAGCCAACAAAGAGACATAGACCACAGTTGTCAGAAAGAGTGTGGACAAAGAGTTGAAAGTTGTGCAAGAAAAAGTCAAAAGTGTCGAAGATGATACCAAATTATGTGGAAAAGTCGACAACGATGAAGATGCAGAAATATTGCAAAAAGACATAGCAAGACTGTACCAATGGTCCAAGGACTGGCAAATGCTTTTCAACGTTGACAAATGTGCAGTCATGCACTTAGAGAGGAAGAACGCTAGATATGAATATAAAATTGGTGAAAGAGAACTACGATCGACAGAGGAAGAAAAGGACCTAGGAATCATTGTTCATCAAAGCACAAAACCGTCAAGACAATGTACAGCTGCAGCGGCCAGAGCCAATACGATCTTGGGATTTATAAGAAGAACAATGGTCAGCAGAGAGAAGCATATTATACTGAAACTGTATAAAACTCTGGTCAGACCTCATCTGGAGTACTGTGTTCAAGCATGGAGCCCATATATGCAGAAAGATAAGGAAGTTTTGGAAAAAGTACAGCGTAGAGCCACAAGAATGATTAGAGGAATCGGAAAAATGGAATACGATGAGAGATTGAAAAAATGCGACTTGACATAATTGGAAAAAGAAGATGTAGAGGAGATCTAATCCAAACATATAAATTGATCACGAATAGGGAAACAACTCCATACTCGAGATTTTTCAGGCTAGTAAACAGTGATAAACTACGAGGACACAGATTTAAGATTTTCAAAAACTCGGATGGAAAAATAAAGAGCAGATTCTTCAGCAGTAGAGTGGTCAACGCCTGGAACGAGCTAAGCGATGATGCAGTCTCTGCGAATTCACTCAACAGCTTCAAAGCCAAACTCGGACAGATAGGATATTAGGAGATCTAATTAGTAGTGGTTCTTACACAGACCATGGTCTTCTAAACCACTTTAAACCCCGTTAATAATAATAAAATTATGACGGAGTATTTTTGTCGAATGTCCGCGGCTAACTGCCACAAGTTATGAATATTAATTAGCAGATTCCTTTCTTGGACCTGAATGGCCGACAACCCAATAAAAATTCCTTTAATATTATTGACGTTTGTAGGAAAGCACGATTCATAAAAGCAACCCCATTCAATTCAATAATGAGTTTATTCAGCAAAAAAGCTAGGAGACCTGAAGATATAAGGATATCTCTGTGAGATAAATAAATATATATATATAGAGAGAGAGAGAGAGAGAAATGATACAGTTGGAAAACCTGTCAATAGTATTTGCCGACACCAAAATCTAAACAAATCGTCCGTGGCTACTGAACGTACGTTGGGTTCAGGTTATTTGCTATTGTTTCAATCGAACAGATTCTTCCGTGAAAATTCAGTTCCTGTTACTATGAGTGCAGGCTATGGGTGATAAAAGCCGCTATCATACCACTATAGATGATGAAATGATAAAAGTCATACTCTGCTGGGGTTTCTACGACATTTGCCATTATCTGACGTTATCACTTTCGTCATCATCTGAATCGTCATCACCTCTATTATCTCCATCAATTCAATATCAGTCCAGTCATCTTCCTTCTCATCCTATTATACCCTCTATCTGCAGTCTGTACCATTACAATTTATAAATCGATTTGTAAATAAAGTCAAGATGGAATAATTTTTTTTATAATTTTCTTTTTTTAAATTTTAAATGAGAAAAAAAAAGAGTTCAATCTTTTACAGAGAAAGAAATTTACAAAATATTTCAACCTAAAAAATGATTTGAGTGCCAAAAGTTTTAAAATAAAATAATGAGAATAATATTAAAAATACAAACACGCAAATACACACACAAACAAACACACACAAACAAACACACATATCCCAACTTATACACAAACACACACGCATATATATCTATATATTTGAAAATTTAATTGAAAAACTCAATATTATGTTAAGGAATATGTAAAATAAATATTAATTATTATTATTTATTATTATTGTTGTTGCTGTTAATAGTGTTATTATTAATAATTTGGACAAAAATCACCAAAAAATTTACCAATAATGAAATCAATAAACCTTTGGCAATAATAATGCGACTCCTTAGTTTGCCAAGTACAATAAAAATAATAATAAAAGTATCATCATAACCACCACCATCATCGTTTTCATCATCATCGCTGGTTTTCATTATCATCATCATCATTGTTAAAACATCTCATACTCAACGTCATAGCCACTCAACATTATCATCATAATCAACTTGATTACCATCAACAGTCACATCATCCTCATCAATAACGACAAAACGTCATTGTAATCACCATCATCATCATCAGCATAGCCTTCACCATCAATGTCACCACCATTAACAACAATATCACCATCATATCAATTACAAGGCAGCTGGCCCAGACGTAATTATATGCTGTGGATGTCGTTGTTTTGTGGCATCAAAGACCGTCCAATCATCTTCCTCCTCATCCTCATCTGCCTCCTCCAGTCTCTGCATCTCGAGATTCGTAGAACCTTTCATAGCTCGTTTCGTCTTGAAGACCTTTCTTTTTTTGTTTCTTCTTCTTAATCTTTTTTTGAGGTTTTGATGTTGTTGTTAGTGTTAGCTAGGAGTTTTATGAAACAATAGTAAACATAATGATATTTATATATATATATATATGTATTAATAAATATATCTTATCAACAATGTTTGCTAATGATAGTAATAGCCATGGTACCAACAAACATCCAGACACACACACAGACATATACATGCACACAAATACACACAAATATTCATACCTAAGTATCCTAATCACAAAATAGAGGATGATGACAATGGTGACGATAACTAAAACCACAAATGCCTTGTGCATGTAGGAATCAAATGAGAAGAAAGAGCTAATAGGAGACACAACCTTTGGGTAGAGTATAAAAAAAACTATAAAAGAAAAAAAGACATTTTGTTAAGTAGTTAGTTTAGAGGTTTATTATAAAATTATTCATGTTGATATCATCATCTCATTACTTTTAATTTAAATTTAATAAGTTTCACTAACTTTTTCATCATCATTAGTAGAAGCATTGACCCCATCGTTCTTCTCTTTTTTATTCTTTTCTAACTTGTTTTCACCGTCAACTTTTGTCGTATTTTTTGCAGATTTCTGCTGTTGAGTTGGGAACGGTAGTATAGATGGAGATGCAGGTGACGGTGATGTCGATGACGGAGATGACATTTTTTTATTTTGATCAGGATCCTTATTTTTCGCAGAACCGGTTTTCGAAATTGTTTCTACTTTTACGAGCAGAATAACAATCCCTAAACAAAAAACTGCACTGAAAAACTTCATCATTTAACGTAAATCGAACGATTTTACTAATTCTAATTTATAAATTAAAGAAATACCACATTTGTTTATGTATAAAAGTTAACGAGATTGAATGATGTATTTAAATATGTGATGAAGCGCTTCATTAAAATGCTGTCGGTCATTCTACAATTCGTTTTGCGACTGGATTTTCGCGTAATTGAAGCTAGATAAATAACCTCTCATAATTTTTTGAAAACATTTTTGATTAAAATTTTCTAAAAAGTTGAAAAACTTGATTTTAAAAGCAAGAAAATTACTAAAACCTCGGTGGATCAAGTCTTTTTTGGACTAATAGACGGAAATAAATCGAAATAACAATATGACAAAAAAATTTCAGTAATGATTGCAAGAAATTTTAATATAAATGATTAAATATGTATATATTTTATTTATTATATGTTTTAACGTAACGCGCAATAGCAGGAAAATCATCAGACGGCATTGGAAAATTAAAATCAAAAGAAGGTCATTAATTGGCAATATTGTTAATAATTTCAATAAAATTTATTATATTTGAATGTCATTAAATTAAATTGTGAAAATATTAAATGAAAAAAAGTGTGACTACTTATCAGTTATCTCAAACAAATAACATGTTTGGTTATAATAATATTTTTATTAAAAAGTGCTGAATAAATAAATGAATGAACGAATTAATCATAAAATATAAGAAAGAACAAACAGATAAGTGAATAAAATATCCAAAAAATATGCAAATCGATTTTCAACAATTTGATTTTTAAAGTAATTAAATTAATGTTGGCAAATAAAAACGCGTCACATGACGCGGCACATGTCGTGAGTGACATAATAAAATTGCAAATATAAAAAACCATAAAATAAATAATTACCAATAAAAAATATATTTTTATAATAAGAATTTAACTATAATTAAATAATAAAATGCTAAAGATATTTATAACAGATCAAAACTTTACAACAAAATTTGATTCTTAATGATGTTTACTACTTATTAGCGAAATATTAACACACACACACACACATACACACAAATAAATGTACTCCAGATCTATACACATTTATTTAGCATCACATCATTCATTTTATAATTGGAATTATTGAAAATTCTCACATGTCAATACGCATAAGTGTATTGTATCTGTACATAGCAGACTAAGATGACTATTTTAAAAGTAAACAGATAAACACAAAAAACTAAACAGATATAACATAGATATAACACACATATCACGAGTCACACAAACAACACACACTCACACATACACAAACACACGTATTTATGTATATATACATCACATAATATAAACTAGGTATACATTTACTATATATATATATATATATATATATATAGAGAGAGAGAGAGAGAGAGAGAGAAAGAGAGAAGAAAGTTATTCTTCAAAATTTGCTAATATAACTTCCTAGAATAAAAATATCAATGGTAGACACAACAAATCAATGTGACTGGTTAGTTAACTAACCTTTATTTACAGAATAAATATAAATAAAATTGGTAATCTTTTTCTCTCTAGCATATATATATATATATATATATATATATATATATATAGATAGATAGATAAAGATAAACTTGTGTGTATGTGTGTGTGTGTGTGTATACGTCCCCGCATCAAATGTGATTCAAATGTGAATGAATAATTCAATACACGAACAGGAGATGTAAAAACACACACACATTCATATTTATAAGTACCGATACTTATACATAAACCTTTCATATATATATTATATATATATATATATATATATGTATATATGTGTGTATTTTGGAACGAGGTTTTCTTTGATGGGAATATCATTAAATATTTTTGCCCATTTTGCATTAATTTATTTTTTAATAAGGATTTCGGCAACACGAAGCTGTTTTAATTCATATTTATTATCATTATGTGTCATCCTAGGCTTATAACGTTGTTGTATATATGTATATGTATATATATATTAGGAAGAAGACCAAGTTCTATACAGTTGTTCAAAAAATCCACCGACGATTCAGCATTAACAAGTTTTATGGTTGATTTTCTAATATTTTGAACTAGTTCTTTACAATTAAGTCTATTCAAAATGTTGAAATCCATTTTATAATCGTTTATGATTTTAATTGTTAAAATTAATCAAGCAAGATCCCATTTTTATAATCGTTTATTTTTTTATATTATTATTAAAGTTATTTTCTAGTTCAAAATATTAGAAAATCAACCATAAAACTTGTTAATGCTGAATCGTCGGTGGATTTTTTGAACTGTATATATATATATATATATATATATATATGTGTGTGTGTGTGTGTGTGTGTGTGTGTGTGTGTATAATGAGTGGGCGTAATTGCCCGAATAGTAAGTTCAGTATTTGGAGAAACGCCCCCGCAAACGTGTTGACACGGCGAAATGATATTGCAGCAGTTTTTATTTCTATTTCCGTTCCATCCCTGATTGATTTAGGATGGAAGATAGCTTTAAAATAATAAATTTATAATAAATCACGCACACAGTAAATTAGATCAGAAATGACAAAATATATCGAGAAGCCATTTATAAAATGAAGTCTAAATGCGGGTTGCTCTAATACATTAACATACTAATTAATATTCATGAGTGTTTGTTCGTCGTAACAGGCAAGTAGTTCCGCGCAGACAAACTAAGTTAATTGCCACTAAAAAAAAGTTAATTATAAGATAATTAATTATGGTAATGATTGTTCTAACTATCCAAAAACTTATTAGAGAAAAGAATTTTCATTAAAAGTAATTATCTAACTTTTAATAACCGGATAAACAGCTTCGAAAATGCACGGTAACATGTTCAGAGTGATAATGTACACGCTAGCTATAATGCACATTATACTAATTCGTATAAAATTTTTTCGGTGCGCATCAGCTTAAGTCTTTCTTTTTGTGAACACGCGTACCGCAAAATTAATGAAGCTATTGCTATAGTTAAAATTGAAAGGCGTATGAATTATTTAACGTTTCAGAATAAATTTTCATCAAATATTCATCTAAATATTCATCAAATTAATTTTTTTCATTTAATTTTCAATTTATAACTCATCTGCCGATGTTTGCAAATATTTCGGATTAATTTCAGTCCGGCGCTGACGATTTACTGGAGATAATTTGGTGTGTACTGAACGTGCCATTGAGAAAAAATAAAATGTTCATTCTCCGTTCATTCATAAAAAATGGAGGTTACGGCCGTATATTGATCCACTAAAAAATATTTCACTAAAAAAATGTAAAAATTAGTGAATCTTACTTTTTTAAAATTAAGTTTAAATTTAGCGTCGTTATCGTCTGCCAGTTTTTTCAGTTTGGTTTATTTTGTCTGAAATTTTGTTAAAATCGGAAGAAGGAGAAGATAGAGCACGTTTTGGACTTTTTCAGTGAAAGTTTATTCGGCAGAGGAAGTGTGTTAGTTGACAATTTTCAAAACACTAATTCACTAACTAGCTGGGGACGTTGTTTTTTTTTATCTCGGGAGGTGGCCGCTTCCCACATCATCACCTTCAGATTTCATTTCGTTGTGATTTTTTATTCATATTTTTTATTTTGTAAGAATTTCATTTCAAAATGGATGAAATATTTTTATTGGCTTCCTTCCAGTTTTCAAGTTAACCTGTGGTTATATATTTCAAGTGATAATGATGTTTAAAAATTTGTATTATAATATTATAAACCGTTTTGAATTTAATAATTTTTTATTTAAATAAATTATTTATTTAGATCAGTGGATTAAATGCCAGAAATGTTTAATTAGTTTTGTTTAGTTTAGTTAAGAGTTTAGTTGTCTTTACAGTAAAATTTATTGCTCAGAAAGCTGATCTAGCTTTGGCCTCATCTCTTAGCAACAATGAGTGTAATTATTCTTAGCATTAGATAAATGGCATTGTAATCTATGTTCTTTCACCTTCTATTAAATTTGATATTTTAAATCATGAAGCCGTTTGTATTATGCATTGTACATGTTTGTATATGTATGTTTATGTTATGGCAATAGTTAATTTAATGAGGTTGTTTAATTAACTTACCTAAAATAATGCTTTTACTCAGTGGATGAGTTGACTTTTTTAGTAGTTTCATCATAGCTGCAGTGTACCTGCTACTGAATAATGTATGTATGGTGTCCAGTGGATAAAGTGTACTGACAAACCTCTTATTGGATGTAGTGCAGTTTACAGACTGTTGGCTGTCATTGAGTTTGTTCTCCTTGCCTCCGTGTCATTTTTCTTTTTTTATTTTTGTGATAGTAATGCTTTAATATAAGCTTCTGTTCTTTGTTGATCCTGAAAAATGTTTATTGACTGAATCTAATCGGAATTTTTGTCATTTTTACAGGTTACCACACATGATCCACGTGAGTTTAATGGAGTCACTCTCCACTCAGAAAACTGCCATATGGGTGAGCCAGCAGCAGTCTGACTATATTGAACTTCACCAGCACACCAGTGGGCCCCCCAGAAAACTCTCAACAACAGCAGCAGCAGCACTTGAATTCAACAGTTCATCTAACACAACACCATCACCGCCTCTGCCCAGACAGCCGATCAAAATATCGAGTGGCGTGAAGGTTCTACGAAAACCTCGAGCTCTGCCGCCACTAAATCCCAACTCGTTCCAGGACAGTACACATGGTAATGAATCACCGTCTCTTAACTCAATCCTGAGTCAGAACAGCCTCAGTGATGAATGGCACACCATCGCTCGCAGCAATCATCAAAACCCTCCCTCCTCCGATACACCTCCTCCACCTCTGCCAGCAAAAGTTTACGATAAGAAGCACAAGACAAGTCGACTAGTTGAACGAGGGATACAGTGTTCTGTTGAAGAGGAAATTCCGAGAAACAGAATTGGTCAGTCTAAGGGTCTTTCAACGACCATCTCTTCCACCGTAACAAATAAACAGCACAAGGTATGTCACACCATCACAATGCCAACAGCACCTGTACAACAGATCATTGTCACACCGTTGAACCACGTTCAAAGGTTTGTCTTCAACGACTTGAGAGTGAAATTAATAGAACCATGCATTAGCAGCAGCAGCAATACGGCGGCATTCATGCGCATCAACAACCAACTCGGTAGCATAACACAAAGATCATCATCTGCCTCATCGCCCATCACCGTTTCATCACCGTCGACAACGACGTTAATTGAATTAGAATCCATCACAAACACCACTGGCTATCGTCAGCATGTTCAACAGAATTTGGACTCCTTAGCGGGTCCGACTCAGCTGGCCTCGACGACAACGGCGACGACAACTCAATCAAGAGTTTGCTCCAACGAGTACGTCTCCGATCCCGTTACTCCTTGTAAAAAGTCCTTCAACAGACGATACGTTGCCTTAAAAAAACGACTTGACACAAATAATTTGACGGTTGGGCTTCAAAAGTTGCCCAGCTGTCGTGGGTTCAATGTGAAGAAGAGAGGCAGTAAGTTGTCACCATCGTTGTCGTCGGGTTTCATCTGCAACAAATGTAACAAATGTCGTTGCAAGCAATGTCGTCCGGGTAGCAAGGAGAACAACAACCACAGCAGCAGCAGCAACAACAAGAAGAGTGGCAATCTTTACAACAACTCCCTTGACAACAGCAGCAATAACAACATCAACAACAACACAATTAATATTAATGATGACAACAACAACACTAATACCAACTCCAACATCGTTAATAGCAGTAGAACGACCAACGATTATTTTAACAACAACACAAAATTAAAAATTGAAAACGTTGTTGACGATAAAAAGGACAACAACAACAATGACAACAACATCATCGACATCGCTGACATGAATATAGAAAAGCAACAACGACACGACACACAACAAACTGTTGCCAAGGAAGTTGAAGTTCTGTTGGATAATGGCAAAGTTTATACGTCGCAATGTGTACAAGACCTCAGTGATATCGACGACGACTACAGCGTAGATGACTGCGTTAACAGGAAAAAACTGAACGACAGATCTTCTTCAACATGTTGCTGTTGCGGCGGCAACATGCTAACCGCATTATTGAGTTGTTTCTCAACGTTCTGCTGCTGTCGTTTCAGGTGTTGCAAAAAACTCTCAACGAAAAGGCAACAACAGCGTCATAACTGCTGCAACAGTTGCTTCAGTTGCCTGCGACGGACAGATGGTTGTCAGTGTGATGATGATGATGATGATGATGGTAGTGGTGGTGGTGGTGGTGGAAGGGTTAGTGATGGTGGTGGTGATTTTGACGTCAGGAATGAGGGTGACGATGGCCAGGATGTTGTTGAGGATGATGACGATGATGTTTTCCATAGTTTAACTAGCTAATGATGAAGATGACGACGATGAGAATGATGGTGATGATGTTTATGTTTCTATCTGTTGTTTACGATGATGGTGATGAAGATGAAGAAGATGATGATGATGGTTCAGTCATGCTGAATGTGATAATGAAGATAAGATGACTGTAAGTTCATTATTTAGAGGCATGGGGTTATATGTGCCATATTGTTACACACACACACATATATCTATATATATAACTAAATATATACATGTGTTAATAAAAACCTGTCTTTATGTGTGTGTGTGTTTGAGTATATGTGAGGAAGTTGTGTGTGTGTGTGTGTGTTTGAGTATATGTGAGGAAGTTGTGTGTGTGTGTGTGTGTGTGTGTTAGAGTATGTGTGAGGAAGTTGTGTGTATGTGTATGTGTGTGTGTGTGTGTGTGTGCTTTTGCAGGTTTTGAAGTAGTTTTGCACTGGCATGAATAGATGGATGATGGCTTATTCCTACACACACACACACACACACACACGCATGTTTATACAATCTGTTCTGTTTTTATGGTTGTTGGTTTGTTTGTATGTCCCCCTGTTTGTATGCTTGCGTATTTCGTTCGTTTTCTTTGCGTATCTGGTTGTATGTCAGCAGTTAGTGGTGTTATTTTTTAAAAATGTTTGTGGGGTTTGTTTGGTTATTAATTTGTTAGTAGTCAACGCTGTCACCTAATTATTAAATCACACTGATTGTAATATGTGTTATGTTAATCTATCCGGTCGTGTGTGTGTCTCTGTGTGTATCTCTGTGTGTGTGTGTTTTTTTGTTGCAGTGTATGATTGATTGTACGTATATATATGTGCATATGTGTTTGTGTGTGTGTGAATTTTGATATGGCTGGTTAGCCGTGCTTCTATTGTTATGTTAACGATAATGATGATGGAAATAATAATAATAGTAAAATGTGATGATGCTTAATATTATATAGATATATTTATTTATTTTTTTAATTAATATTTCATTTTACACCCAGTTTAAAATATTATTTTTTAAAATCCATAATTTCTTGTTTATTTTAATAGTAAAATTAATTCAGCCTGATAAGCGCTCCTTTTTATTTTTGTGTCCGTCTGTTTGTGCGTGTGTGTGTGTGTATTTGTCTGTGGGCGCGTTTGTGTGTGGGCGTGTTTGTATGTTTGTTTTTTTTTATCATTCTTCAAAAATCAGGATCTGACAATTGCAGAGAAAGAGAATACGGAAAAAGAAAAATGTTTCAACATGAAAAGTATAATAAATAATAATAAAATAAAATAAATTGACAATAAAATGAAGTAATAATGGCATATAAAGGCAAATTAATAGACCTGATGACGACTTAGTGAGTTGGTGAGGTGATCGATAAATTAAAAAACAAGTTGTGTGAATGATGAAGTTTTATTGAGTGTGAATATGTTTGAGGTGTCTTTTGAGGAAGGTCTTTTCCTGATATGTTGATTGGGCTGCGACTTGATAGTTGAGCTTGCGCTGACGAAGATTGTGTGTTGTAGTTTTAATTGGTGGTGGTAGAGGATGGATGACGTGGTTGTTGTTATTTTCTACTTTCTTGAATCGAGTGTGTTGAATATCTGAGTGCCGGTAGGATATGATGCAGGTAGATAGTTGAAGCGGATTAGTGATGAGAGATTGTAGTTGCTGAAGTTGTTGTCTAGCAAAACCAGACCAGGAAGGAGCTGCATATTTGATGCGTGAGATTATGAGTGATTCAGTGATGTGGAATAATTTGATGCTTCTGAGACCATGTGAGCGGAGTATTTTGAGTGAGTGAAATGTTTGAAAGCCTTTTGTGATGATGTGATTGATATGAGGTGCTAAATTAAGTGTGGAGGTGAATGTGATGCCTAATATTTTTAACTGACTTGAGCCGGATTTATGGGTGTTCCGGAGGTAATGTTATTTTCTCACGGCTATTGTGAATGATGAGTTGGAATGATTTATTGAGATTAAGTGACAGATTGCATCGTTTTGACTGACCGTGTAGTTAATGAGTCGAGTTCTCATTGGATGGTGTGTATGTGTCCGCTTCTGTGCGTGTGCGTGCCTGCATTTGTTTGTATGTACGTTCAACCATGGCACATCATTTTTTACTCTCAACATCCACCTGAATTTTTTTAAACGAACTAATATTTGAAATGAATATCAGTGAGCACATGCATTTGTGTATGTGTGTGTGTGTATGTATGTATATATATATATATATATATATATATATATATATATATATTAGAATATTGTAAAAATATATATATATGTCTGTGTCTAGAAGTCAGTTATATTTTTTGGTGCATTAATTGCTGTATAATTGATCTAATTTACATTATTTTTTTCATTCAGTTTATCTTTTTCTTTAATTAATTTTTAATTCATAGTTAATATCTTTCCTTTTAACGACAATAATTTATATGGTTTTGTTGATGTTGTCGTATGTTAGCGGATAGGTATGTTACGAGTTACGACTTGTGTGTATGTGTGTTTGTCTGTTTACATGTGTTTGTGTGTAGGTGCTTGTGTACGTATGAGCGCATTTTTCTTTTCTTTTCTTCTCTTCTAAGTCTGGCTTGATCTGTTTGCATTTTTTGGATGATCAATCTAATTTCTTTTTTTTGTTGATTGCTTGCGTTATGTTCGTTGTGTAGTTTCTTCTGATAATCTCTCCATATTTCGTTTTGTTTTCATTTTTTCTCGATTTTTATTTGTTTAATGAATTTTTCAATGATGATATATATAATGTATATATCAGTATATCAGATACTGTTTGGTTTACTATAATTATTAATCGTAATTGCTGTTACTTCTGTTTTTGTAGAGAGAAAGAGAGAGAGAGAATGAGAGAGAATGAGTGAGGAGAGAGAGAGAGAGAATGAGTGAGTGCTCTAATGAGATTTTCAAATAGATTTGATGTTTCAATTATTATTAAAATAATTGGCTGTTCTTCACTTCTTATTAAGTGTATTATATTAATTCATTAATTCATTCGTTCATTTGTTTTTATCTATTAATAAAAAAAACTCCAATGAATTTCTCCTTATGTTAAATTGCTTCTAAGTTGTCAATAGAACCGAACTTAAAAGGGCGCAACACAAAGTTACATTTAAAGTTAATATTATTCAATTATTTGTTATTGTTATTATTAATTATTTTGACAATTATGTTAATTTAATTATTAAAAAACTATCCTAAATTAATTAATCAATAAATCGATTAATTTTAAAAAAGATCAATATTTTCTATTATCACAGTTCTCATGTCTACACTTTACATACTGCTTTATCCTCGGTAAAATGAGATAAAATAAGGTGGAAAATTATTTAATGGTATTTAATAGTGTCAACTATAATTGATAAACTGACTTCTAGGCACAGGTATTTTTAATACACACACACACACACATGTACTCACACACGTACACACACACATATATATGAGTGTATGTATTATACGGGCATAAATTTTTGAAGTTTGAAGACAACGAGTTAACGTCTTATTTTTTTTCTGAAATTTATGTGGATTTTTGGGATTGAATATTCGTGTCTTCGGAGAAATTTTTAATGTTTTCCGACAAGGTTTTTTTTTTTTTTTGAAAGTTTATTAGGGGTTTCATATGGCGATTTTTGAAGAATGGCATATATATATATATATATAAATATATATATATAATTTCAATAGCTAATATTAAAAGTGAATGGGCATTATGTTTTTGTATATATATATATACAACACACGTTTAGACGACGTTTTCCCTGAGATCGGGGGTTGCCGTTTGGCTACCTATGATGAAACCGAAATACATATATATATATATATAAATATACACATATATATATATGTATACATGTATGTATATATATATATACATGTATATATATCTATATATATATATACATGCATGTATTGACTTGATGTATATATCACCACATGTATATATTATTTGTATAAGTACATATATATTTTTATATTACATATATATATATATAATATATATATATACATTCATGTACGTGTATTTATGCATGTGGTATTAACATATATTTTGCTTGTGTATTTTTCTTACTCTCTGTCTGTATACATTTGGTGTATGTATGTATGTGTTTGTAGGTGTGTATCTGTATATTTGTAATTAAGTATGTATGGGTTTGTATTTGTATGTATGTTTGTAGGTATGTGTCTGTGTATTTGTATGTATGTATTATTATTATTAAGAAAAAACTTAGTATAGCGTATGTTTGTATGAGTTTGTATGTTTGTAGGTGTGTTTGAGTTAGTGCCTCTTAATGTATTTGTGATGCCAAAAAAGAGAATGCCTTTACAAGTATAATATATATATATATATATATATATATATATATATATATATATATATATATATATATATATATATATGTATATTTTGGTAACAGACTATTGTTAACACAACATTTCAAAAATTCAACACTACTTTCAACATTGTTCAACTTTTTCATATTTCTTTTTAATTTATTAATTTCCGAGAAATTAGACATTTTATTGTTTTTTTTAAGAATATGGTACCATATTCTTAAAAAAATATATATATTATATTTATATATACCATATATTTTATATATATTTTTTTGGCACTAATTGGCACTAATAATGTAATAAGGCATATGGGAGGTTATCCCCAAGGTTTAATACATTAATTAAATTACTTATTATGTATGCTTGTATTTGCCGATATCATTATTCGCGGTTGTGCATACGCGATCTTAAATGCCTCCTCAGCTTTGTTCCAGTTCATCTGTTCGTCCACATTTGGTGTTTCTGTAATAAAGCATTTCTTGCCTTGATCCCATGAATGAGACTTGCATATTTTTCCTTCGAAATCTGCAACTTCATTGGCTTTCTCTTCTGCGCTAAGAAAATGGCAGATTTCAGTAAGTGATTGGTTGGATAGTCCTTCGACTATCTTGTCATATTTCTCCCACACCCCTCCCAGCGAAGAGAAATATATCTCACCTGAAGACCCCCCGTTTACGTAAGACGGACTCCCTTTCATTGCGACTGTAAACCAGAGTATCGGCATACTAATGACTATTGCAGCAGGTTTCCCATTTTGGAGATAACCAAGTTTAGGCCTGGAGAACTTGTCCGAAGTGGGCAGAATGTCTTTGCTTAATCCGAAGACCTTGGTTATCTTAGTAGGGTGTTCGGTAATCATATCAAGTGCACACATTCCTGGAATGATGGCATCGTGAATGGTAAATACGTCTACGCAGTACGTATTAAAGCAAAGAATGTTCTCTACCTGTCCTACCGGTCGAATATTTGACTTTGCAAACATCGTAAGTAGCGCTCCTTCTTGGTTTTATTTTCAAAATACTGGATTGTAACCTTGAGATTGCGTCAATTTCTGACTTTTGATAGCCAGAATCGCTGAATAAATGATCAATTAAGGCAACTTGTGCCCTAGAAGCAAAGCATCCTTGAAGCGCCTTCTTAAATTTATGCGCTGTGACGATCATTTCTCTAGATTTGGTTCCTTTTGAGGATGCCAATTTTCCATATAATTTTGTGGTTTTTTTGAAGAGCGCAGCTATGTTCGTTTGCTTTCCGAATTTCGTTCTGACAGAGAACGGACAGTTAGACCCTTTTGCACCAATCCTATTCCAAAGGGCACTTGATACTTTCTGCTGCTTAACTCTTGATAAACCAGTACGCGTTTTGCGTTCTGTGATCATTTATACTGGTCCACTTGTCGACCCATGAGTTGGCAACATTTAGAAACTCACGATCCTTTATCAGGATTTTCTTCAAGCCAACAGGAATAGCTGGGGCATCAGCTGTACTATCGTCCATAGGTGCTGCCATTGTAGATCTACAATGAATCAAGAAATTGTTGTTTAAATTTGAAATTCCGAGCTACTGCAAAATATATATATGATACCATATATATATGTTTATATATATATATGTTATATATAAATATATATATATTTTTTTAAGAATATGTTTTCTTAAAAAAAAAAACAATAAAATGTCTAATTTCTCTAGATTTGGTTCCTTTTGAGGATGCCAATTTTCCATATAATTTTGTGGTTTTTTTAAAGAGCGCAACTATGTTCGCTTGCTTTCCGAATTTCGTTCTGACAGAGAACGGACAGTTAGACCCTTTTGCACCAATCCTATTCCAAAGGGCACTTGATACTTTCTGGTTAACGAATTTTACCTTTTTCGTATATAAGATGTCCCTCCAACTGACTGCCTCGGTATACAGGCTACCTACAGCAGCTTTTAGTGCCCTGAACTTTTTCTCCAAAGATTCGATTTTCTTTGGATCCTTTCCCTTTGATTCAGGGATGTCATAAAGATCGTGAGCAATAATCATGCGAATGATTAATTTGGCTAATGGAATGAGAGGAACATATTTATGTTTCAGTACTTTTTCTTCTACAAAGATCACTTCGTGTGATGGATATTTCTCATATGCTGTACCTGGTTGTCCAACGACTACCTCTGCACCGTAGTAACTTTTGACTCCTTTCCAAAAGTTGAATTCTGCCCTTTCTTGTAATTCGGACTTTTTAGGTGCCTTGTCGATTTGTTTGTAGGTGGATTGGGATAATTTTTCCGCATTACAGATGATTTCAGTACCATCCCACCTAAGTTGGAGAACAGCCTGGCATATACATTCCAAGAAGCATTGGCCTGTCTCGAAACAAGTCCCCTGATTCGCGATAAAAGCGCCTGCTGCTAAACTCTTGATAAACCAGTACGCGTTCTGCGTTTTGTGATCATTTATACTGGTCCACTTGTCGACCCATGAGTTGGCAACATTTATAAACTCACGATCCTTTATCAGGATTTTCTTCAAGCCAACAGGAATAGCTGGGGCATCAGCTGTACTATCGTCCATAGGTGCTGCCATTGTAGATCTACAATGAATCAAGAAATTGTTGTTTAAATTTGAAATTCCGAGCTACTGCTAAATATATATATGATACCATATATATATTTATATATATATATATATATACATGTTATATATAAATATATAAATATTTTTTTAAGAATATGGTACCATATTCTTTAAAAAAAACAATAAAATGTTTAATTTCTCGGAAATTAATAAATTAAAAAGAAATATGAAAAAGTTGAACAATGTTGAAAGTAGTGTTGAATTTTTGAAATATATGTATATATGTATACATTTATATGTATATATATAAACAGTTTTGTATGAAATCTACCGAATTGTTGGCATTAATCAATTTAAAGTTTGTCTTTTCAATTTTCCTTAGAAGTATTTTCTGGAAATTTTTAAATTTGTTGAATATGGAGTTATCCAAGTTAATCATGAAAATGTAATAGAAACGGTTGTTATCCGAATTCATCATGCGGATTAGGCCTTATTTTGATTTTTCATGAATCATCTTCATTGCAGGTTTAGCTTATTGTTTCTTTAAACAAAGCAAAGTTCTTTAGCAAAATTATTAGCTGGTGTCGTATTCATTTTTTTGTTGTTTTTTCTTTGTTCTTCATTGTTGGAGTTAGTAATAAGGCGTTGAGACGAATTTAAATGCCCTATTGAAGACTGTGCGCGCGTCAACCACATTCGTAAATTGGCGTTACGACCACTTCACTATGAAGACCTCTCACAATGCATACACACAGAGGAGCCATCGAATCTTACTTGCAATCAACACATGCAACTCCGATAACCCTCCAAATTCTTGACAACGATACAAATATAAGCTATCAAAACACCAAAACGGTACATCTAAAAATTGAAGAAACTGTCGTAATAGATATCAATAAACCCCGAATAAACGTCCAACAAAAAATAACATCATTGCCAACTCCAAAAAATTGGCATTAATCAATTTAAAGTTTGTCTTTCCGGAGAGTTTTAATAATGAAAATTTTTAAAAGACAATTTTTTAACTGATTAATGTCAACAATTCGGTAGAATTTATACAGTACTGTATAAAATATGGTTTCGTTCCAATGTGTATATTCAATATATATATATATATATATATATGTATGTATATATTATGGTAAATAAATAATTTGGCATCATTTATCATGTTTTTACAACATTGTATTACAACATTTTACAACGTTACACACACAAGCACACACACACACGTTTATATATATATATATATATATATTTGGGTTCAGACTGTCGTATATATAATAACTGTATAAATATACATATATATGTTTTTCTTTCTTCTCCGTATACATGTATACAGATAAATATTTTTTTTATAAAAACTTTTCATTAACATTTTTTTTACATGATGTGCCTCAAATATAGATTCAATCATATATATATATACATACATATATATATATATATATATATATATATATATATATATATATATACTTTTATATATTTGTATTTGTATATATTAAATATATGTAAGATTTTATCTAATAATATTCTCTTTTGGACAATTTAGCTTACATACGTATATGTGCATGCATTTGTTTGTTTATCATATTTTTTTTTCTGCATATGTGTATGTATGTGCCTGTGTGTATTTGTGTATGTACGTTTGTGTGTGTATGTGTTTATGTATCTCGATATGTGTGTGGTTGTATGTATGTATGTATGTGTATGGTATGTATGTATGTTTTGTAGTTTTGCCTTTTTAAAATTATTAAACGACGACGAAGATGAGGATGATGATGGCAGTTAGTAAGACTCAGAAGGCATCCAGAACTTCGTGATAATAATTGTTTTGGGGTCATTTTTTCTCATCTTAAAATAATATGGTCGTTTTTGATAATATTTTTTTATCTCTCTTTTCTCTCTCTCTCTCTCTCCTCTCTCTCTCTCTCTATTTCTCTCTCTTTTTTCTCATTTTTTTCTGATATGAAAAATTGATTTTTGATATTTTGGAAAAACTATAGTTTATAAAACACAGAACTCGTTACATTTGAAGGAATAAATTTGTGTGTGTGTGTGTATTTGTTCTTGGTTGTGGGATTGTTGGTGTCTTCGTTTGTCTTTGTGTCTATGAATGTGTGCGTGCGTGTGTGTACGTGTTTGTATGTGCGTGTCGACCTTTATTCTTGCAGCGAAGCGCGTTTGCCATTGAACAATTTAAATTTTTGTGCCTTATCAAACGCGTGAATGAATGATTGAACAAATGAATGAATGGATGAACGAACGTTTGAATGAAAGCATGAATGAATGAACGAGTGGAGTGATCAATATAAAAATGTGATTTTTTTTTAAGATATCCATCTAATACAAATAGTATATAAGTTTATATATATATATATATATATATATATATATATATATATATATACACATACATATGATGGCTCACTGTTAATGTTTAATTTTCCATGTCTGTTTTAATGTATTTGTGCGTGCGTGTGTGTGTGTGCGTGCGTATATATATATATATGTCACTTTAATTGTATAGAAAGAAGTTAGTGTTATTAATGTAATTAGTTAATTAATGTCTACGTGTATATAGATTGCAAGCAGCAACAATATGATTTTATTGTCCGATTTGTATTATTGTCATTAACGATCTTACCTATTATTATTTTATTTATATTACTGTTATTAATTATAATTTATATTCTTATCATTCTTATCAATAAGATGCTTATTTTTGCTGTTATGTTATTATTGTGTAGTTATTAATATTTCAGTTTATTATTATTTATTGAATACAGAATTTGTAATATATATATATATATAAATATATATATATATATATGTGTGTGTGTGTGTGTGTGTGTGTGTGTGTGTGTGTGTGTGTGTGTGTGTGTGTGTGTGTGTGTGTGTGTGTGTAACTTGTTTATTTCATTTCTTTTTATCATATACTTTTCTTTCATTCTATTAATTCATTTATATATTGCCCCTTCTATACTTTACGTACTAGTGAAAACAACACTAACAATGAAAAACAACATTAATAATTATAACGCTATTTATTATTATTGTAAACAATATTATTATTGTTATTGTTTTTAGAAATGTCTTTAGATAATTTTCTAATTCTAATCCTTCCATCTTTTATTATAGATTATGATCTTATTTGAT